AGTCAAATGAAGCAGCGGGTACCGCGAACTATTTTCAAGATTTTTTTTTTGCGTTGGGGAGATATTAATTATATATATAACGGTTTTGCCCGGTTTTGCAGGAGGTCGTGGGTTCGAGTCCCACCCGAGTAAGCTTGTGAGGGGGCAAAACCGTTATATATATATTTAACATCTCCCCAACGCAAAAAAAAAAAATACATCTTGAAAATATCAAAGTTGAATTTGGATAAATTGTCGTATCAGTCAGGACAAGTCACTATGCCCATATGTGGTAATAATCTAGACTTAAATTGGCCAACCATGCGCACCAGACAACTCATGATGGCCTATATACCGGGAACAAATTAATGATCTGGAAAAAATTAATGATCTTGAAAACAGACTGCTTAAGATCTCTCAGAAAAGGAATGAGTTATTGACAGCAGAGTCCTTAATGTGGGTGGGTAAAACGTTCCATAATTTGACAACTGAATTAAATTAGCCCATAATAGAAAAAGAACATGACTGGCTATCCCCAGGCTCATATTACTCACGAGACCTTGGCAAATGTCGAAATTCTCGAAAAGTCCCTCGTGCTTTGAACAATATCTGTAAGTCATTTTGAAAAGTTTAAGACCACCTGGAATTGTATTGCTATTTCTGTCACTGGGCCTGCATTACATTGTCTCATTGAACGACTACTTAACATGATTTTACAGAGGTGCGTATCATCAGTGTAGTGCTATAGACCCATTTAAATGAAATCTTTTGCAAAGGCAGGTCTTGCATGACATTTTGTCTGCAAGGCAGCATGGGTAAAAAAAGCCATTCTAAGTAATCAGAAATAAGGGAGGGCACACTGAATATTAGGCTGTTAACATTTCAAACATGGAAATGTAGCCAGATAGCCGTTTAATTAACCAAGATACTAAGGTTACACATTTGAAAATGAACATACGTTGCCATGATTGATTGGTTTATGTTTGTTTTTTCTTCCGGGTAATGCATTTTGTATGGGTGGTCTTAAAGTTTTGCAAATGACTGTATATATATAAATATATATGTTCGTTTTTCCACCTAGCAGATCCAACCTGAACTTAGCTACCGATCCCCGCAGCGGTGTTACTGGTCTCGGATATTACGGTAATTCAGGAAGCCATTGCTGTATATACCCAGGAACTGTGGAAAACACTTGCCGATACCATTGTAACGCTTTGCCCTGACGAAAAAGCATCTACTTTCAAGTATTATTTTTTCCAATATACACGTTAATTAAAATCGGAATATTCGGTGATCAAGTCAAAATATGAAGCAGACGTTTCAGGTATTCTTTTGAGTTACCTGATTTTAAGGAAATTGTTATACAGTGGAAATCAACAGGGAGTAGCGACGCACTCACTCAAACGATGTGCATCTTATTAGAATGTCACTTTGAAGGAATAAAACCAGGGGCCAAGTACGTGGTAATATGGATGGCCGTTTAAAGCCTCCGTAGCTTTTTCGCACTCCAAAGGTGCAAAATGGCAAAACAGATGCACGTATGCTCGAATTTGAACGTATACTTTAACCTTTTATGCCAGAAATGTTTTTCAAAATCGGGTAAGAGGAGTTTTACTTTTACGGCTCTGCGGATCGGGAGGGGGGGCTAAGGCCCGCCCTCCCCATTATTGTCTTTCTTGATATAATGGAAAAGCCTTTCAAAAGCATTTCCGAAGCCCCGAATTTAGCTTCACCCACAGAAAGTCCATAGAAAGCTGCTCTCGAAATTCCCCAATATTTGGCCTACCCCCTCCACAATTTATCTCTGGATCCGTCCCTTGACAGTGTCCAACAGATGTTACAGCGTCACAGCAGAATCGACGAAAGAAACATCCGGAACAGTATCAAATTATTAGAAGTTTGGAGAAAGGAAATTGCGTGACGACACTCTACGGACTACATGACAACAGCATTAAATCATCCCCGCCCACTGAAACAGGACACGGTAATGCGCGTGAAGCAGGGCGCGCACTATAATGATGTACATACACAGCAGCAAGGCTGCACTAACGGCACGGAACTATCCAGGTGGCCTGTCTGCCATCACGAAATATTAATATTCCTGAGATATTCTTGAAGTATTCATAGCATCGAGAGTGGGGTCAGGAAGAAAGGAAAAGGTAACCAAATCATCAGCGTTTCCTCGTTGAGTTTGCATTAACAGTTGAAATCGGTTCATGGAATTTCAGCACACTTGGACAGATGGCAGATCAGAAAAACAACTTCCTACTCGATCTCTTCCCTTTCTGACTCTCTCATATCGACTCTCATGACAGCTCTACGAGAAACTTTTTCGAAACCTAATAATTTGCTACCCCATCTCATTATTGTAAGCAAGCACCTCACCTCAACTCTACAGTGAAGGCTAAAGACAGATTTATCAATTGTAATATAATGCTATTAAATTGCATGCTGTTTACATTATAATAAAGGTTGAAGTGTAATATCAAACTTTCAAATAAAAAGATGCTAAAAAGTGATGATTCTGCGCGGCTTGCGATCACTTTTAGCTGGAAAAGAGGACATCAAGCCCATGTAGTCATCTAAATAATGGTACAACCACGACTGTTCTCATTAATCTAAACACGATTTATTGCATTGGGCAGCTACAGACGAGATTGTTCAAAGAAAGACAAAACAATTTGGGCTGTTTGAAAAATATTACGTTTAATTTTTTTCCATCGAATTCCAAAGTGGAAAACCAGAAATATAATCAACTTTAATCGTCGTCAGTGCACGCTGACTGACACGTTCACTCATCGCCAATGCGTTTCATCAAACGGATTCTGTGCTCTTTTTCAAGTGTAATCAGCGAGTGAATTTCTAGGTCCTGTAATCTCCACCATGTTTACCCTTATCTTTGTCTGTAAAAGCAATCGTTTAGTCATAATCACGCTTTCAAAACACGACAAACGAACCCTAAAAAAATTGAACAAAAAACTCACCTTTTTCTGTTCACAACTGATCGCATGGAAGACTTTGAAGAGCGCTATTTCTTTGGCATTGTTCTCATCGCTAGGTTGCACGCTATGGTTGTGGGTCAAAATGCTGGTCAACTGCGGGACCAAACATATGAAGCACAGATTTGATTCAATTCAACTCTCTTAATTCTGCAAGAAAAAACTTTTGACGGGACTGAGGTCGACATAGCGGAATTAACATATAATTTTCTTGCGGGTAAAATTTGGGGAATATTACACATAAGCTTTCCATCGATAATGCCAAGGAATAGAACTCAATGGGAGTCAAGTGCATTGGATTTTAACGGCCACAATAATTGCTTCGTTTGCTTCCAAAACTAAACAGATGGATTAACCATGAAGCTCATTAACTGCATTATTATATCTAAAAACTATTTGGCAATTAACACAATCTTGCTACTAGTTTGTAGACATACTTAGGCGTTCAATATGTCAAATTCCTTAAATCTGCTCTTTTGAGGGGTTTTTTCATACGCACGTTTTCAGCGCGCCTTAACTCTGTAATTATGCGTAAGCTGCCATGCCGCGAGTGCTCACTCAAATCATACCAAAGTGTAATGCGGCGAATGGATGCCAATACGGAACGGTTCGAATAATGTACCGGTACATGCACATATGGAAAACGCCTTTAGGCATAAGACAAAACTAAGACTTTGGTGAGAAAATATCGGCGAGAAAGCTTTCCATTTAGTTTGTCGAGTCATATCGGGTGGGTTGCAAAGGACTTCTTAAAGGTTATGAAGAGTTGGTACTGTCGTGCCTGTACATACTGGCACTTGTTCACTTTTATACATCGGAGATTAACATCACAGATTTGGGTGTGGGCATTATGTCAGGGAATATATTATCGATTAGATTTGCTGATTTTGTGGTAATTCTGGAGGGTTTGTCAATTAATGGTACAAATGAATAACATGATTACATGGGTTCCAGAAAGTCTTGTAATTATTGTTTAGATCCAATGGATTTCTATTAAAATCGCTACAGACTGTACGGGTTATATCGTCAAAAGAAATTTGTGAGAGCATTTTATTTCATTCATGAAATCCTTATGAGCTGTGAGCGGGGGTATAAGTAACTCCAACTATTCCGTATTTTTGTTGCAGGTTTATTTATTTCAATTAATAAAGATTCCATTAAGGAAGGACAATTGCTAAAGTCCTTCATTATTTCAAAACTTATTCCACTTTTAACATAACGTGCTACGCCACCTCCCGTTTATATTCAATGTTAACTGTCAGTAAAGTATAACCCGGTAAAGCGAACCTTGCTAGAGATGTTTTCTTCAACAACTTTTCAGTCAAGCCAATGATACAGAACTCATTTAATGAGCGAAGAGTATTGAAACTGTCGACGGTTTCAGATAAATTTCTAATGTCAATATGCAGTATTTTCAGGTTCAATGCATTATTGTCAGCAACATCTTGGCAGTCTGTAACACTGGCATACCTTTTTTCAAGATGTATTTTTGCGTTGGGGAGATGTTAGATGTTGGCATACCTGCAATTTTGTATTCAATCTACATGTATATTGAATGTTCAGGTCATCAACATCATTGGTTGAAAGACTGGGCATATCAGTGTACACTAAATCGTTACTGTCAATGCAATCATGGAGAATGTTTTATTTCTCCATGATGCAATCAGCGGGCTCTAGAGTGGGGACATAGCTGCTTAGCTTTGAAAACTCTGTATCATCTAAATTACTAAAGGGAAAAACAATGCATTGACATTGGGAGCATATCCAAGATTTGGTATTGGAGTAATATTTGTCTCACCACTCAGTACAAGGATGCTACATTCGATATATGCACAGGATATTCTGTTTGGATTAGTTTGTAAATCTCTTACAGAAAAAAAAACATTCGAACTTCACTGGCATTGTTAAAAGGCCCTAGATTTAATTAGAAAATTATTAACAAAACAATAGGATCTACTTGGATTTATAGACAAAGAAAAAAACAGATTGAAAATAATGCAGATTAGCATCGTCGTTACATGTGATGTGAACGTGAATGAGAACATGGCAAGAAAAATAGGTTCTGAAAATGTCTACAATATATTTACTTGTGTCATTAACTTCTCAAAATGCTCAGACTATCGATATATTGTAAAGACGGTCAAGTACACAGACTACTGATGCGCTGGATGCAATGCGAAACTCAGCTTTATTTTTGGTAAACAACACTTACAACACACACTGCCATGGGAGGACGCCATGTTTGTGGGTACAAATACTTCGACTCAGAGGGCACAATCTGTTAACAACATGCAATTCAACAGGGAGTGCCTTTTAGCAGAGGAACAGACCATAACTTTCGTAGCTTGTCGGTGAGCTTGCAGTTTGCAAAGCAACAGGTTAATTTCCAGTGGGAGGCAGAAACAATTCTCCCTTTACACGTAAGTAAAGGTGTGAATTTTTCTGCAAGTAACATATTTTGATAAGCGAGTTGTGCGATGTTATCCCGATGGTGCACGCGATAACTGATTTCACTATCCTGGCGATATGTTCAAGACTATAGAGGCGTTCCGCAAAAGAGCAATACTGAAGGAGGAGTTAACTTGATTGATATTAATCCGTCTATAGGATTAACGTTGTTGGTGTGAGTTGTTTTACAGAGTCCTGTATTCGGAAGCAAGGAGTCGTGGCGCCTGCGGCTGTCTTCCACGTGCAGTCTTGGTCGAGCACGGGGAACCGATCTCGGGGAATACATCGAAGCAATTTGCCGTCAGACATGAGGAAAAATATTGACACAGGTATGTCCAGAAACCGGGACCGGAGACAAACAATTGAACCTCTGGGGGATTCAAGCGAATCTTGGTGATTGGAAAAGAGAGAAAATAAGCTTGTGGCAACCTGACTTTATTTCGCGGTTTTATCGTCCCTGCTGTGCGATAACAAAGCTCCAAATGAAAAGTGAGAGATTGAAATCCACTCCCAATTGATTGATTCGCCGGGGGAGGGCAATTTAATGTTCGTAGGAGATTAAACATCTCACACGTACCAGATCAGATCCCAATATTAACAAGTGTAGTATAAAAAGCAAATAACAAACTTATTTGGATGAGAGTATGCCTTTGTGCGAGGTTGGGTACTAGACATCATGAATGTCAAAAATATCATCGTAAATGTCAAAACCAGCACAAAGACAAACTTCTCGAGTCTTTTGACAATTTCCGGTACTTTTTCTTGGCCAGTTACGAAGCGTACTTTCCCGTCTAAATTTATTCTTGACATTGATGAATCACCGTGCATACATAATGTGATACTTTGTCGGCCAAATACTTTGGGATTGGAACCTGGCGGTGCATAGCAAAGGGGGACATAGCAATGGGGCAAAGGGCGCTTGCCCGTGGGAAAAAAAGGGGGAGAGTAGTAAAGCCAAGAAAGTGAAAGAAACTTTTTTTAAAATGACGGATGAAAAGCATCATTTTGTAACAAAATCCTCAAAACCGAACCCTAAGAGTATTAATTGTTTGATAGTTTCAGCTGGTAAGTGCTCCCCCTCCCCGAACCCCCCCGGGAAAAAAGTGGTTTGCCCCTCCCTCCAAAAAGAACACTCCCAGTGACGCCCTTATACATAACCCACGTAGTGAAGTAGCAAGACGAAATCTCCCAAAATCTCTTGAGCATACAATTTGTCAGTAATGTCGAATCAATTCTTTGTAGGGCCTACAGGGAGCAACTTGCCCCAATTTATATTGTGCGTTGGTTACCATGGAAATCGACCACTGGTCCTGTGTGGTCGCTGATCAAACTTGGCTGTGGTTAAAAAGGAAAGACTGACAGTCTTGTAAGATCTGTTTAACACAGACGATCCTGGGTTCCAAAATGATGTTTTCTCTTACACAATGCAAACCAATCGAGAAAGCCTACAGGTCTATAGCGTTTAAGAATGATTACATTTTCAATCCTACAAAGGATTATTTCCACCAACGTTCAATGTTCAACGATGCAGTTGGACACATAAAAAAGATTGCAACAAAAGCAGAAAAAAGTCAGCGAAAATATGAATAGAATCATTGAAAATTTTAACTGAGCAAACGGTTGCGCTTCTTTTTCTGTATTTGAAAGACTTCAAGTAGCAAGCCGACACACGTGCAGTTGCCATTAAGAAACCGCAAAAATGTGTTAGAAAAAACTTTGGCAAGGACAACAAGTGGGGTTTATTTATCAAAAGCGATTGTGTGAGACATTGACGAACTACGGTGTTGTCGCTGACCAACCATCATTGTGAATGGACTTATTTGTGGCTTCAACATTTTTCCACCAGAGCTACGGACGACATTGGCAATGTGTAACCCTTCTAGCTTGCCGAACTATCACCCTACAAATCGATGCAGAGGCCTTTAACAACCATAATGTTGGCATTTTTCGGGAGCATTTTCCCTCATTGAGTACATGCTCGTAAAATCGACGACTGCCTTCAGCGGGAGTATCCTCGTTAAAATCCTGTGCACTATGATGATGATTGACGAGGCGCAGAAAAAATTTCGAGGTAGGCCCACAAGAGCATCAGACAATGCGTACGTACTGCAGCACCGTAAGCGTCTGGATACTTGATCGTTTGGCGACTCACATGTAGGTTTTAATTTTGCCTTGTGCGTGTTGACATCAAATGGCAAGGCCAGTCGCCTCGTCAAGGGTCAATTTAATTTGATTTATTTGTTCTGTTACGCTTGAAGATCATGGACAGAAGTTTTGAACGATGCCCCTCCCCAACACACTTGTTTAACCGATAGTAACTAAACCACCCATGGGTGCTTTTTCAGTACACCGAGACGCAGACGGCACTGATGCAGTAAAACGAAGGTCTCTTTACATCAGAATACCAAGGTTTCCATCGCTTTAAATGGACTGAATGGACTCATTCTGAAGGGAGTGATTTATGGCTACAAAGTTTATTCATCAGAGGCAAGGCCGATGTTAGCAACTCTGCTCTCCAGTCGCAGCCTAATGGTAAGGAATTTTCTCCCATCGAGTACATGCTCGTAGAATCGATGACTGCCTTCAACACTACCGCCCGGGAGCATCCTCGTAAACATCCCGTAAAATACGATGATTGATGATTCAGACAAGTGCATGGAGGCACATAAGCATGAGATAATGTACAGGCACATGACGCAGCAGCTATAGACCTAGCGTCCCGTCTGCCCCGCCATCAGCGATCCATGACCTTGAGGTTTGTCGCAGATGCAGAAAACGTAGATTACGCTGCACCAATACTATCACGGTGTACCGAGAAAGCACTTCCTGGTTGTTACTTTCGGGTAATCAAGTTGATCTTAGAGAATCGATATTCTGGCCATGATCTTCAAGCGATTATAATTTATCCTTGACGAGGCAATAAGCCATTTGCGAGATAAATTTGAATAAAATCTGGTACACTGAGTTATCTGATTGCACACAAACATATCAACTTGAATTCCCCAGACTAAATACACTGTTGCTATGCCTCGTGATTCGGAGCAAGCTTTTGCTTAGCGACCACCATCTCTGGAATGGAGTGGTTCCTTTGTGCCCTTCTTTTCCATTGAAAACAGTGTATTGTTGCAAGGCGTCTCTTGGTAACTAAGGAAAAGCTTGCCCGAATCACGAGGTATAACAACAGTGGCTTTAGTAAGGAGAATGCCAATTGTTATGTTCACGTGAATTTAAAGAACTCAGTGTACCAGATTTTATTCAAATCGAACTCGCAAAAGGCTTATTGGCCAGACTTTTTTTTTTATTCCTCCTTGTCCATCCAACATTCCTGTTTCATCGCCAAAATGCCCTCCCAGTTGTCAACTACATGTATTACTCAAAACATTCCTGCGTATTAGGCAGCGCATGAGCATTCCGCAACCTCAAGTATCAATGACTATTTCAATGCACTACATACCGACTTTGTAATCATAATAATGTACTCTAAGCAACCCTCAGTGGTGCAGTGTTGACAATGTTGTGTACTCAACTAGCCTTTGGAGATATAAAACCCTCAGAATCCAAATTACAGGTGTCCATTTTGGAGAAAGAAAGTGGCTTGTTAGTGCGGCGATCGGGTATAATGTCTCATCTCATGCATAATGATATCAGTGTTTCTTACGTATATGCATGAACCTACTGGTTGGAGGAGTCCACTGATCTCCATTTCAAAACATTCGTTACAGACGATTTAAAATAAGCTTCCTTATCAATCTCAGCTCCCTAAAATAAGTTGAAAATGAACAGCATATTAGGTATTTAACGTACGAAAAGAGTTGCATCAGTTGCCGACGATAATAGATATCCAAAGGAAAAGTGAATTTGTCGTTGTTATCGCAGGCCAGTTGATTCCGCGTGACAGATTTCTATGCAGGCAAGATCATAATGTATGAACAATCAACACAGGCCCCATTGCTTAAAGTGCAGGCTCTTACAGTAAACACAGGGATAATTGACGGCAAATGCAAATATGATAAAAGAACACTGACAATCAAGACAGAGGACTGGATTTCATGATGGTTGGACGGAGGACTTTTTCGCACAACCACATAATCTCAATGTCCCTCCCCGATCCTTTTCATTGTTTGCGATGCAAAATATAAACTTGACCTCGTTTCGAGCCGAAATCGATAAACTGCAAAAGGGGAAGGTCTGTTAGTTGCTTGGTGTGTTCGCCTACGATTTTGTTCCCTCTCAATGTCACGAACACTAAATAAAAATCAAGATGTCTCCGAAAAATGCCTCCCCGATGGATGTGACTGCTCTCGATCGATGATGTTTCTCAGAAGATCTCCAGCACTGAACCGCAAACGAAATCACATTTAATTGATTTCACCATAGCAAATGTACGGAAGTGTATCAGGGCCACTGGCAGAAATATTTTTCCAGGCGAGATAATAACTTGTTGCGGCAAGATTGTAACTCAAAAAAAATTTTGCAAGTGGCCCTTACACGCTCCCGTATAGATGTGAATTTAAAAGCAATTTTCAAACTATTAAATTGACTTGTGGTTTGTTTTGTCGACGAGGGGAAAAAGACTCGTCCGTCGAGCGTGAGAAGTGAAATTGTTTGGTCACACATCTCCTCATTAGGCTGAGCATTTCCAAGGAGAATTGTTTCAATAATTTTCAAAGAATGAAGATTCATGAGCGCAAAGCTGCAGGAAGCCACAGACCACCTCTCGTGCTATGTGTGTGGCTTGTGGTCAGTTGTGTCCGTGGGCAAGGCACTTCACTGCAACATCGTCTTTTCTCGATGAAAGGCAAAGTTGGCAAAGAATACAAGGATTAATTCCCGACGACCTGGCCTGAGTAACAAGGTTCTGACACGACAGGAACAATTCCTACCCTAGAAGCAAATTGGTATCAGTTGTAGATCAACCAGTACAAAGGTCTTCGGCGTATTGTGCGTTGATGTTATGCCCTTGAACCGCGGAGAACTAATCTGCTCACAGATAAAAGTGAGAAGTTACCTTACCTCGTCTGAGTCACGTGCCTGGGCGAGAATGTCGGCAGCGTACTGCTCCACCGACTCGGAAAGCTCCGTGTACTCGGCGCGGAACTCATACTCCTGGTTACTCATCTCCCCCAGCTTGCTGGAGAGGGTGAAGGCGTGGCCAATGGGGTCAGGGGCGGTCAGGGAGATGTAGTAGCCGCTGGACAAGGCGCGGTAAACATTCAAAGTGCCCACCGAGCGCTGTAGGGTATGTTTCTCCGTGCGCTGAAAATCCGACGAGTCGGGGTCGGGGATCACCGCACCGTATTTAAGTAGCGTCTAAAAGATGTCCAGAAAAGTCCCGTATAGTTCTCCTATATCGCCAATACCTAAAATTTCTATTCAGTTAAGCGTTATGACGATGAACCTGGACTTGGTTCGCAACCTTTTGGCCCCCCAAAAAACACAAACGAATATGCACGTCACTGTTCAGAATGTCACAGTAAATCTCATCGCTCATGTCATCTTGTGGCGATTTGCGTGGAAAATGAATATTCAGGATTTGAAGACAACAGCCGGGTCATTTTGCACATTTGTTTCGAATTCGACCATGTCTTGCTTATAACACGCACACTCATAGAACAGATTCGGGAATAGAGACAAAACCAATTTCAGGACTCCAACGTTCACATCATCATTTCCACTTTAAAGGCACTGCACGGGTTATCAACATAAAGGCATTATCGTTCCTGCAATTTCTCCACTGAACCATGCAGCACCTGCACAATGCCAGTGTTACCACCAACGCTCACAACAACACTACAACTCAAGTTAACGTTACCACCCTATTCCTCACCACACCCACCATCACCACCTTTACCTTTAGAATCAAGTAGTTGTTGTGGTGTGCAGCCAGCACTATTGGAGTTAGGTCAGGGTGGAAATCGTCGTTTTCCGGATGACAACCAATCACAGCTTTTCTCTCCTCGGGCTGCAATGTGAAGAGTTAAAATTATCTTGCATAATTGGGCAATTAAACTGTTTAATTAAACTTCATGGAAAGCTAAATGTAACATTTGAAACAAAAATATCGCTGTGTGTCGTCTATATGCAATATCATGAAAGGATTTTTGTAAACAAAAGTGGTGCCAACATGCGCGACCATTTTTAGGAAAAACTGTCAGCGTAGGCTATATGTATTTATTTTTTTCCATTTTTCTTGGGTCATTTCTAAACTGGGGACTGTACAAATCGCTAAATGATGGCAAACCGGAATAAGACGTCATGAGTCACATGTCTCAAGTGCTACTCCACAGCCTTCAAAAATTATGCCCAATGAAACTTAACAGTTGCTGTGAACTCTTTTACATTATAAAGGGGCGTTTTGATTGGAAAACTGCTCAATGCAAGCAAAAACACAAAAGGAAAAAACAGTTCCTTCAACATTATTTTGGCTGCTGAATTTTCTCTAATGCTTCGTCAATCATGCGCCCACGGGTTTTCTCAATCAACTTGTGAATTAGTGCCATTAACTTGAACATTATGACATCACTCGGCGGCAGTGGGGGTTATTAGGGAGAATTAGTGGACGCTTCTTGTGAAACTTTACATCTCATTTGGCTATGATCCAAGAATAGAGGGGTGGCCTGTCCAAGGTGACATAATTGATGTTTCACATAGCTGGATACTAATGAAAATGTCACTTGATGAACATTAATGACCAAGGAAAATTCTAGATGAAGACCTTGAGTGCGCTGCTCGGCAACTTTCCAGTGCCAAGTACCCCCCCCCATCCTCCCTCCAGTGTTTTTTTTTATTATTCACTCGTCTTACCTCGAGAGATTCCGAGTGCTTGCATATTAGCTGCACGGCGTCCAAGAACTGGGTATCCACTGCCCGCAAGAGGGCGTCTCCTAGTCGTGTGCCATGGCTCAGGAGCAGTTTGATAATAACTGCGTGGAAGGAAAGGTCGGAATGTTCCATTAATGGACTGAAACGAAACACAGTCTTTGGCCGTGTCCGAAACGGGCTTCCAGAGCTACGGCTAGGCCTATTGTTTACGTGTCCTCACGCATTTCCAATGGAGCAAAGACCTAGTTCTAGACAAGAGATTCAGATGCAGCCTTTCATACTCTGGCAGATGGTGTTTAGAGTAATGCATTTGAAATGGCGCTTGGGGTGTAATGGCATTCGTAAAAATCATCCCATCCACACTAACCAGTCAACCACGCAGAGCATATGCAGTAAGGTATGAGACGGA